TGTCATAACATTTGTTTTATAAGGGTGCGATGTAAGAATTGTGTAAAAGATTAGTTATGATACGATTGCTACTCAAGCAATAGTGAAATGTAATAAAGCGGTGAAATTTAAAATTAAATTGAATTTAGTGATTTAATTGAGAAATTAAAGTTTAGAGATTCAATTAAATATTTGCACCCTTATATTCAATATTAATATTCGATAATAAGGTCGTGAGACCAAAGTGTCTAATAATACGGGGTTAATTCAATGAGATTGATCAAGGAAAATGGACGATTGCCTAGATAAATTGAAAAATTCGTGGTAAAACCGTTTATTTAAATCACGATATTACAAAATATAACATCTTGAAATGTTAAAAGAGAAACCAAATGTGTGAATGAAGTCGAGGTATTACGTTTTGACTGAAGAATCATACCACACGTGTTTAAAAACATTAGAGTGTGTTTGAGCCACATTATTTTAGAAGAATGTATTTTGAATAGTAGATTGATGGAGAATGTGTGGTTGAAAAAAAAGGAAAAATTATTGATGTGATGAAAAATATTATTTTATTAAAAAATGTGTGATTGGAAATGAAAATTTTAATATGGCTAAAATAGGGCCAAGACCATCTTAAGAATATCTCTATCCAATAAGAATTTCACTGAACCAGCGACAGTTTATGTGACCGGACCGGTTCAAATACCGTTTTGAAGTCCTATAAATCCCCTTTGGTTCAATTTCTAAACCCCGTACTCAAATAAAAATGCAGCAGGCAGCGGCAGCAGCAGCAGCACCACCACCACCACCACCACCACAGTCGGCGACAGAGGGAGATGCGCCGCCGAAGCAAGTCGCGCAGGCCTTGGAGCGTCTGGGGCAGGCGAGCCGCCTTATCGCCGACATAAGGCTCGGTGCGGATCGAATGCTGGAAACCCTCTTCTTCGTCGCCTCGGAACCATACCACCAGCAATCCTCCAAACCCCTCAATTTGATCCTCAAAGAAGAGTCCTCTATGCGCCAGCATCTCCTTAACCTCCGCATCCTAGGTATTTAAACGCATATGCATTTTACGGGCCGTTTATAATTATTGGTTTATCTTTATATTAGATTCAGCTAATATCATTTTGTAGCATTTTCTAGTTTCTTTTATAACTGTCCATTCAGTGGAGATATTTTCTCAGTTTTTGTTATAGCTACTGCAGTCGCTGAAGCAGCTATTGGACCGACATCAAATCAACTTGCATTAACCAATCAAATTTGGTGAATAAATAGTATTAATTATGTTAAAATAGAAATTCTAATAATTTAAGAACCCAAGAGAAGTTTTTAATGTACAACATATGCGTATGGTTCATATTTCTTGAAAGCTTGTACCCTTTGGATTGCTCTGGAATGAAGTTCTGGATCTTTAGATCTATTTTTGGAATTTTATTAGAAAAGCACATTGATCCCAAAGTTCAACTGAGGCCCGTCTTACAACTATGCATTGTTGTACCTTACTCAATCATGCTTCAACAGATATACCTTGAGACCAACGTTTTCAGCCTTCCTTTTCAATAAATTCCATGAATGGGGTTTCAACTTATTTGAATTATTAGTTTGGTTAAGGATAATTTGGGAAATGAGTCTATTTTAGTCTTTAGAGCATGTAAAAGAATGTAACATGTGTTTCCAGCAGCTATGATGCATGTATTTGATTATAGAAAGTTTAGAAAAATGACATGTTAAATAGTCAGTGTGTGTGTGTCTTGTGATAACTTGTACAATTGCTCTATGTATTTTTCAACAATAGGGATGCTTGTCAGAGTGACAGACTGACAGTTGATGGAGTGAGCTAATTCTTGCATAGGCTAAGGTGCTCATTGTGATATCAGTAGTGAAATTGGCTAATGTTTTCTCCGACTTCTCTTAATACTTGCCACACTGGATCTGGTTCACTGTCCAATATGTAATGTACGAAATCACACCTCAGTAAATGCAGAAAACCATTCATCAGCTTCTTTTCTTCTTCTTGATTTCCTTGTTGTAGACTAGCTCATCTTGGCCTCAATCATTAATGTATTATTTCTTCTTTACTGAAATGCAAAAGCCCTAGCTACAGCGTAATCTGAGGTCGTCACATATGATGTTACACCTGGACTTCATATAGCAGTTGATATAAGAGTTTATTATTATTATTATTATTATTATTATTATTATTATTATTATTATATAGCTTAAAAATCAGAGGAAGTTGAAATATCAGTAACCATTCCAAAATTTTCTGAATTTGATACAACAATTTATATAGCATTACAAGCTATAACGGTGCACCCAAACACATGGAATGAAAAAGTACAGTTATAGAAATGTAATTAGTAATTAAATTGGCTGATGACAAAAAGAAGGGAACACAAAACTAATAATTTGACAAATAAATAAAACTGATGAGCAACAAACCTTCCATCTAATATAATTATTCATGGTTGAACAATGACACAATGGTCCAGGTCCATTGAACTTTTACTCTGTTTAAGAGATGAATTTTGAAGGATCAAGAAGATAGAATGAACCAAAACTTAGAATTTTGAGTCTGTAAGTAGAAACACATTGATTATCTCGTCCTAGAGTAACCGAGAAGCCAACTGGTTATGGTCTTATGGATAGAAATTATCTGGATTGATTTTTAGAGAGTTGATGAAATTGCAAGTGGGCGTTGCTAACCAGACCCAGTTATGAGTATGGGAACAAACTCAACTTTTACTATTTTGCATTTCTTCTGTATTCATTTGTTATTTATGGCTTATGATGAAGGAGTTTGACACGCATAATTATTTTGGAAAGTTGTAAGAAATGGTTCTGGCTCTCAAAATTATTTTATTAGAATTTTAATTTTGAAATTTGAGTTACTCTTCTACATTAAAGTTACATAGAAACTAATAAGAAGGAAAATGTCATATTATTTTTGTTGATTATATCACTAAGCCCTTGTTTGGGCTTCATTTTATTGAGGTTTTGAGAAAATGTATTTTGGAATCATAATTTTTTTGGAGAATGTGTGGTTAAAAGAGAAGAAAAAGTTTTGAGTTTACGTGTAATATTATTTCATTGAAAAATGTGATTGAAAAGGAGAAAAGGAAAAATGTATTAAAATTAAAATGGAGCCCAAATAGGGTCTAAATTAATTTTAACAGAGGCGATTTTGCATTATCCCGAGGAAATCAAAGTACTTCCCCATACGCCCATAATATATATAATTTTTACCCATGGATTTATCATCCCTGGAGGGAAAAAATGTAAAATAGAAAAACAAATGTCCACTTGGACAAAAATTATTTAAGAAATTAGTTTGCAGAAAGTTGGATAATTTGATTTTTTACCACCTGTCAATCACTTGGACAAGTGATTTATTATGACACGTGACTAAACATCGATTATGCAATATTTCAAGAAGTATTCAGTAAGAAGAGGAGTGAATATCTATTTATGACTTGCTCAACTGAGTTAAAGATGTATCAAATACATGACGTGTTCAACTTAGCAGGTGTTCACAGTATTGTTTAATGCTGAGAGTTGCCATCTTTTAAAGAGAGAGCATTACTGATTGTGTGCCTACTAAAACAACATTTTCAGTATGTAACTTAATAGGAAATCTAGGGAATGCTCTATTTATTCCGTCTCTATTTAATGTCTAAATATTTGTTCTTGGGGAATATCATCAAAATTCAGAAATAAGTAGTATTTCATGACTCTCTTAGAGTTCGTGCTTCTAGAATGAACACTGGAAAACGAGTTTGTGATCTTTATTACCAAGTTACAACTTTTTTAAATTGTGCAAGAATTATTGTCAAGGGAAATTCTGAACTACTAATTGGTGATTTTTCAAGTTCCTCGTTCCTCGTTCCTCTTTGGTTTTTTTTTGTTAATCCTCTTATGATATAAAAATATAAAATTACCCAATCTCTATGTCTAATCTATAAAATTAACTGAATGTATCGAGTTTAGTGAGGTAATAAGCTTTGAAACCTTCTTTATTTAAGTTGTGTATTAATTCATCATATCCATTGAAAAGCCTTTAATAGTGCTAAGTTGAAAACTAATAGGTAATAGAAAGGTAGACTTCTCAAGAATATTTGACATTTACCTATTCAGATGGCAGACAACATTTATTTTGCAGTAGACGAGGGCGTATGGGTTGCCGGTTTTGGATAGGAATGTGCTCACGGGCTCCAGTGGGTGCAATTGCCCCCACTAGACCCTTAGTTTTTGACATTGAAAAAAAAGCCCACGTAATTTTAGCCCATAATTTTTAACTCAAACCCAACAAAGTAAGTTTAATTTGAAATTATTTTTACGTAAATCTGTCTCGCCTCCGCTGAACAATAATCCCGAGTCTGTCCCTGAATGTGCTTGCTGTAGTTAGACCTCTACTAAATGTTGGATTTGTGTTCTACTTGTCATTGGAATCAAGAATTAAATCAGATATATAAACAATAGCAAATGGGGAATGGAAAAGAGGAAAGAATGATGTAGCCCCTCTGTTGGTATTGCTTACCACCTCATTTAAAGATAACGTAGGAAGAAGCTAAAATCCTTCACATATAGGAGTCGCTTAGGGTGCCTGCATTTTGTTTCCATTTATGTATGAAATGTAGTATGTATATGCAAATGACTCAACAGTTACAACTCACAAAAGATATAAAAATAATTGTCAAACTGAAACATTGATAGTGAACTGCGAAGGTGTTTTAATTGCTTTGGCCCTTTTAGCTTTGTACTCTCTCTTGATATGGTGGGTATAAAATTTCTTCTCACCCTCTGGATTTTTGTAATGTAGATAAACATAGCAAGTAAATTCTACTTTCCCTTTTTTTTTTCTTTTTTCCAGTCACCGAAGATTGTTTTCACATGCAGAATTTGCAGGCCTGATTTCAGTATTCTTCTTCTTTGTTAGGAACGCAGCTAGAGGAGTCTGGCGTTCTGAATGATTCTCTTCGTTCACGAAGTAATTCTTGGGGCCTCCACATGCCTTTGGTATGTCCAGATGGTGCCGTTGTTGCATATGCATGGAAGCGCCAACTTGCTGGCCAGGCTGGTGCCTCTGCAGTTGACAGGACCAGGTAACTATTTTGATTGTTTGATCCTCTAAAGCTCAACAATTCTGATGCAATATTGACTAATGCAACTTTAATATAACTTGAGTTAAAATAGATTTAAGATAGAGAGTTGGTATGATTTCAGAAAAACGTGATCGTTTTTATCAATTTTTTATATGGTTAGTACCAAATGTTTGAATAATGCAACTGTCAGCTCAAGTTTCTGGACTGCAGTATTTTATAATGAAAGGGAAGTTCTTCATGAAGTGTTTCCATCATTCAATAGAGAGGTTATTTGTAGAGCAATTGGAATGGCTGACTGAATGTGATCAGATTCCCTCCATGTAAAACCTTTTATACTAAACTTGGGTCTGCAGCTGTTGAACTCCCTAACTGGTGAGGAGATGATTTTATCTGCAAGTTGGTGCTCTCTGCTGTGTTAGGTTTTTGGTGCCTTCAGAGTGGAACGATAAATTTAAGTCCTTGAAATGAAGTTGTCTTCCTAGAACCATTTAAGTCCTTGAAATGAAGTTGTCTTCCTAGAACATTATTTGATTTACAATATTCCAACAATACTAGACATGTTACAAGTTTAATGCAAATGTCTATTTTGCTTTTACAATATATGGTTTAGGGTAACAGGCTTTGTGGATATCTTAAAGACTTGGTGGTGTGCATACAGTTGAAAGTAATTGTGAATGGATTTAATAAAAACAACGAAGTTGTAGAAGAGAGATCTGCAAAAAAATTGAACAGAGATATTCGAGAAAATATGAAACCAGAAATGGTTGGCGAGACCCTTTGCAGAGAGTAATAGTGAATTTCTGAAGTAGTATTATAGGGACAAAATCTCAGACCCTGCTAGCTTTGTGTACTGTTCTGCCAAAATTCCTGGATTTTTGTGAAGGAAAATGTGCTGAAAGCGTGGAAATGGTTTTATGCTTGTTAAAAGTTTGGGAAATATGTCAATTCTTTTTGGTTTAATCCCTAAAAAAAGATTGCTGAGGATAGAATCCCTTTTAAGGAACCGGTTGTAAGTTGAAGCAGTTAATTGGCCAACTTGTGTTTCAAAATTAAGAGTACTTTTGCGGTAGTGATGTAGAGTTTAGACTTGTGCTATTAGGCAATAATGTATTAATTCTGGGATTGATGTCAAATAATTGTGCATTTTCTACGAAATTTTTTGTATTGTATCTGGAAGATGGTATGAGAGAATGTAAATCATGTTACTTTGTTATATTTGATCTGGCTTGTTCATTTGAACCTGTATCATGTGTCATGAATCTATCCAGCTCTGTTGGGTTTGACATAACTTGCATATTGTTCATATAGTGAAATTGGTATGACATGGTAACCAAACAACTAGAGTGAGATAAATGATGTAATACGGAGTCTCCATGTGCATTTATAGCATTTCATGGACGATCTTACATCCCTTGTTATTTATTTCGGTAATGGAAGGTATTAGTGGTTATAGTAAGAAGGGTGAAGGTGTGGGGAGCTATGAAGCATAGACACTCCTACTTGGGTGGTTTGTTGTGCCGATACCGACATACTCAAGCCCCCTAGGACATGTCTTCGACACACTACATTTTTCATATCATCTTAAATTTTCAACACTCAAGGGATACTTTAGGACTCAGGCGTTGTCCGACATGCCAGGTGGCATGTCCTATATATTGTTTATATTATTTATTCTAACAAGCGAGGAGCATTTTCTTGACCCACGAAGGACGTGGAAAGTCCCATTGCATAAATTTTGGTATTTCAAATTAAAGAATTTTTTAATTATTAGAACATTTGTCTAAAATTGTCAAAATCATGTTAGAAAAGTCGTACAAACTTCATATCTAATTTGTTTTACATGTATATACATTTTCTTTTGGAAGTATCAAATAGCTACTCTTTGATTTAAAAGATTTCACCAACAAAAATCAAAACTAAGAAATGTATTGATTTATTAAAAATAAAAAAGTATAAAAATAACGATATACATTATAAATTGTACAATTTTAAAGAATTTAAATGATGTCCCCAACATGTATGCGACCTGAGTTTTTGAAAAAAATCAAATGTTGGTGTGTCCGTATCGTGTGTTCGTGTATTTAGATGAGGGATTATGGGGTCATCAAAATGGAAACAAGTGTGGAGTTAATTTCACGTTATTGTTTTCTATACTGACAGCCCAATTCAGATTAAATTAAGTTTGTAGTTTGTACTTTAGCTTTTAAGCTGGTTTTGACCTGAAGATTGTTGCTTGTTTTAACGAGATACATAATCTCCACTATTTTCGTATCAATTTGGGTTGCAAAGTTGCATTCTGATTACATGGATGGCTTCTAGGAATAAAGTGAATAGGGTGTATGGATAGCTTGCTGCAAGATAGAGGATCAGTGCTAAAAATCAAGCCAAGGAAGCAAATTGACACAGAGACACTTTATCCACTCTTTTGTCTATTGCTACTTATTTTTTAAATCCCTGCGTTGCTGCCCATTTAAAATATCTATAGAGAGACTTTTCTCTGGGAAGATTCTACCCAAGGGATTTAAGTATTGTTTGGTGTTGTGAGGTGGAATAAGATTTGCATATCTTAGAACTCAATCATGTTTTACTTGGCAAATGGTTGTGGAGCTGGTGCTCGTCCGGACCAGAAAGCCTGAGATCCTGCACTTATTATGGGTCAACTTTTGTTTTTCTTCTGTTTTCTGGTCCACGATGGGACTTGCTGTTAATTGGTTATACCACTGTCATTTGCTGGTTTCTATAACCTTTGCAATAAACACATTGATATTTTTTCTTGTCTGTAGACTTGAAGTTAATTATGGAACAAGGAAAATTTGGCTATGCTTGAGTCTTTCAGTCTTTGTAATTGCCCTTTTCTTTATATTCATTTATCCGGTGCTTTATTCTTTTCAGCCTATCACATCCTTGCTTATCAATGGTTCTATGTTCAGGTTGGCTCTCAAGGCTTTTACCGATCAAAAACTGCGATTCTTTCCCCACCTTGCTGATGATTCTGACTCGGAACCAGCTACAAAGAAACCTCGTGTTCCCCTGGTATCATCTGCAAACCTCCAAGAAGAGCTAAGTGATCAAAGGACAGTAGCTGATTTTTTGTCGCATTTGGAAAAAGAAGTTCCACATCTCAGAACATCTACTTATCAGCGGTTGGATTGGTTAAAGCAAGCTTTCTCACTGCCATCTTCTGCAACCCAAAGCAACATTGAGATGTTGAAAGATCATGGATTTCACAGTACAAACCAATTAAGACAAGGATCTGCTGACCTTGTTGCTGCTGATAAAGTAGCTGTGATTGAGTTGTTCTTTCCTTCAGTTTTTAGAGCCATAATATCATTACATACAGCTGGTTCCATGGAACCTGATGCAGTGGCCTTCTTCTCGCCGGATGAGGTGATTTTGACTATGAATTGAGCTTAGTTTTTTCTTTTTATAATTTTGATCGTAGTTAATTATTAATTGAATGTATGTGCTCTTCAATTCTGTTGCTTACCCATGACAGAATTTTCTGAAAGTTGTGTTCTACTGCACTGGCCAAGTGTGCAGGTGATGGAGAATGAAGATAACAATAAGGGTGTGTTTGATCCACATTATTTTGGAAGAATGTATTCTGGAATAGTAGATTGGTGGAGAATTTGTGGTTGAAAAAGAAGGAAAAGTTATTGATGTGATGAAAAATATTCTTTTATTGAAGAATGTGTGATTGAAAATGAGTAGAAGAATGAGAATAAAAATTTTAATGTGTACCACTGAAAGTTGTGTTCTACTGCACTGGCCAAGTGTGCAGGTGATGGAGAATGAAGATAACAATAAGGGTGTGTTTGATCCACATTATTTTGGAAGAATGTATTCTGGAATAGTAGATTGGTGGAGAATTTGTGGTTGAAAAAGAAGGAAAAGTTATTGATGTGATGGAAAATATTATTTTATTGAAAAATGTGTGGTTGACAATGAATAGAAGAATGAAAATGAAAATTTTAATGTGTACCAAACATGGGCTAGGAATTCTTGGTAGATTAGGAATAATATAGTTTTATCTGAATTAGCTTATTTTAGTTCATTATTGTTTTCTGAATTGACTACACTTAGGTTTTATTACTTAGTTTCCTACTTAGATTAGATTTGTTTAAACTCGATATAGAGGGTTCTTACATTGTAATAGTTAGACTTGATTATTGAATAAACTCATATTTTTCCCTCTAATTTCTCTTGATTCTCTCTCCTTTCTTCTCTCTTTCTCCTTTCCCCTTTCTTTCCCTTCTGGAATTCTAGTTCTTTGTTGGTTGCATCCTACGTCAATTGACATCAAAGTGAAATACAACTTTACGGGATGAGTGATATTGGTTTCTCATTTGGTAGAATTATTTTTTATTTAACTAAATCAGAAATTTTAATTACTTACTATATATACATCATTACGAGGGCATTCCGAAACTTTATTGTTACTCTTTATTATTTCAGATTAGGGAAAACAGGATATAAACTTTGGAATACAGGCAAGAAAAACAGTAGAAATGGAGTAGGAATAGTCTTTGTACTAGGTTTAAAAGATGAGTGTGTAAAGTAATGTGGGTTGGGAGAGGATTATATTAATTAGATTGCTTTTAAGAGAGGAGACTATTAGTGTTATTAGCACGTATGCTTTGGAGATAGGATTGGATAAGAAATCAAAGCAACAATTTTGGAAAGACGTGGATAGGTTTATTTTGGTAATCTCTAGTCAAGAGAATGACTTTTTCATGAAATATTTGAAAGAGTACATGGGGATTTCAGGTTTTGGGATCGAAATGAAGAAAGTGATACTATTTTAGACTTGGGGATGCCTTACGATTTTGTGTTATAGAATATGTGCTTAATAAAAGAGACTTTCATTGTGAGTACCCGACCATAAATTTCAGGGCCCCGTGGGATTAGTAGAGGTGCGCTCAAGCCGGCTGGGACATCCACGATTATCAAAAAAAAAAAAAAAAAAGTT